CTGCACTGTTATCTATGACTCTCCCGTGAAAATCGCTTAACCCCTTATCTGGCTCGTAAAACGTTGTGTTAGTTCTAATTCTCTATTGCCAAGTTTAGGGAAACCTATGCTCATGGAGAACTCCAGATGCCGACGGGACTGTGCACGCACCTCCTATATAAGGTCCCTTTGAGTGCTCCTTAATGTTTTCGGATGTAGCAGGCGTATAGAGTCCAAGTAAGAGTCATCGATTTCGACAACTGCACAACAGCAGAAAATGTCTCCCTTTATGTAGTCATAGAAACAGGCAGCCACTAAACTGTGTTGGCGCATAAGCATGGTTTTTGTGAACTTTATTCAGCCAGGTGCCATTTTCCTAGGGCCAAGGGCGGAGGGGCGCATTCTATGTAACTGTTGTTTCATCCCTTATATTTGAGAGTTCTCAGCCCCAACTGTTTTGCTGTACTCCCCCTATTTGTAGGTAGGGTAGGTAGTGCTAACTATGTGAAAATGATTGGACTACAACTTTGGCCAAGACGCCTTAATAAGGTCAATCTCTTTATATAATCATTAACCTTGATTGTAGCAATATAAGTAAAGCGCTAGCGTTTTACTTGTGTATAATCATGAGCCTACCTATTTAGGGACGCCAACATGCATAACTTTCCAGATCTATCTTTTACATTTTCCATCCCCTGTGTTTTTAGGTAACAACCAAACATCCGTTCAGTGGTCTAAAGGAAAACTACAAGTCCCTGAAATTGGATCAACAAAAGCTTGCCAACAAGAAGTTCAGTGTTCCCAACCACTTGCTCTATTCTCCGTTCATCTGCCCTGATCTCTACTGTCCCCTCCAGTTCCCTAACGTCGCCTCATTGAAGATGTCTGTACAGAATACTGCCTGGGTGGAACAATTCAATAGTCGCAGCCTCACTCCACCTGTCGCTAAGTCACCACCGAAGGCAGAAAGCCTTGGTTATGGCGGCGGTGGCGAACTTCGGCGTCTATTTCGAAGGCGTGGTATAAGCGAAACCGACCCTGCTCTTGTTTGTCCATCTTTGGCTGACCAACACCTGTTTGATTCGCTGAAATCAAAGGTTGAGGTAGAACAGGTCCGACATCAGTTTAAGGACCTAGAGAAGAAAAGCGACTCCACTTATCTCAAACTCGTCCATAGCGCTTCAAGTGAGCTTCAGTTTGTAAATTTCATCATTTCATTTTGGATGTGTATCACTGTGTATCACTGTGTATGCTCTTTATCAACTGACTTTTTAATTACTCTTTGTAGGCACCAGTCTACCCTTCAAAATTGGTGATCCTATTTTCGGTCACAGGCGTGGCGGTGACCATGCTTCATCCCAAAACTTGGCAAGTCCATACGAAAAAACAGAGAGGCCTCGATTGATTCCACCGGCGCCCGCTTGCGTCTCTGTTCCCTCTTCCCCACGGCCGCACCGTAACAAATCGACTTCGGCAGAGCTCACTCCACTGACCAGCAGCCCGCTGCACACCAGTACACTGGAAGTCCTCTCTGAAGATTCGTCCAAGCCGCTGCCGGTGCCGCGGAAGAAGGCA